TTAATGTCTTTTAAAAAAGGTAATCTACTTGGTTTTTAGATATTCTCCCATGTCTGCTAGTGCTTAAAATTTACCCACCAAAAAATATTTGTATGCCAGATAGACATACTTTCAGGTAAAAAAAATTGTGTTCCCCTACAGCTCCTGGGCTACAGATCTGTTCACAACATTTTAGCGTACTGAACACTGTCGGCCATTGAACACAGTGGTGTTTGTGCTATACATTGTGCTACGTTAGGGCAACTATGAAGTCACTAGGCAACAGGACATTTTCAGCTCCATAATGGACTTAATGGAATAACTATCACATATGCATTCCTCTTTGAACAAAACGTTGCCATGTAGTGCATGACTGTATTCAGTCTGCACTCTCTATCACCATGCTCTTTAAAATCCACTGTAAAAACAATCTTGTGTTCATTGCTTTGCCAAAATTACTTTTGTCCTCCATTTTGTAAAATCTAAAGTCTAACTTTAATCTCACCGTTTGCTCAACAAAGCAACAGCATTTAGCAAAGTGACAACTCCTTCAAGAAAGAGGTTCTTTCTTTGATTTAAGGACACACTATTCTCCAGATTTTCTAGCATCTGGCTAACTCAACATTTTCCCAGCTGTAGTCCATTGTACGTGAGGTCTGTATGGCCACGGGTCATGCAGCTGCCAAGGCCACTTGGCAGGCTAGCACATGGGCAAGTGCCAGTCACAGAGCAAGAGAGTGCTAGGGAGCAGGAGCAAAGGAAGAGGCAAGAGCCAGGGAACTCTGGAGTTATAACCAGAGTCTTAACCAATGAGTCCCTCAGGATTTTGTGGGACCAGTGGCTCTGCCCACCTAGACAGTTATCTTTGTTCCCAGGTTAGACTGACAGGGAAGCATCTTCCCTAGGTCACCCCGACTCTACTGTGCATGTGCAGGACTTCCCTTTGTTTGATCCTTTCTCCCCAGTGATCTGCAGGGAATGGCCTGGTGGTTCCCTGGGGAGCATGGGCTTGCAGCTTCCTGGTGAAGTTGCCCAGATGGCCAGGCTTATAACATCTGCCCTCTCCTTTGCTCTCTTTTCCTATTTTTTTTTTAAATTATGACAATAACACAAGTAAATTTTTCCCTCAAAATTTAATTTTTCCTCTAAACCTGCTCCTCCAGAGATCTTATCCGTGTTAGGAATGATGGCTATAGTCTCCAGATTCCTCACGTAAATCACTCAGAGTCATATTCAGCTCCAATTTTTCTTTTTTTTTAAATATATTTTATTGATTTTTTCAGAGAGGAAGGGAGAGGAATAGAGAGTCAGAAACATCGATGAGAGAGAAACATCGATCAGCTGCCTCCTGCACACCTCCTACTGGGGATGTGCCCACAACCCAGGTACATGCCCTTGACCGGAATCGAACCCGCGACCTTTCAGTCTTCAGGCCGACGCTCTATCCACTGAGCCAAACCAGTTAGGGCTCCCTTTTCCTTTTGTTCCACATCCAATTTTTCAGAAACCTCTGTCAGCTATGCTTTAAAAAATATTCATAAAGCAACCACTTTATACTATTTCCATCACTCCAACCCCTGTCCAAGCAAGGACCACCTCCACCATAGTATTTCCTGTCACTTCCTAAATATTCTCCTTTAACCTGCCACCCAGAGAACTGCCAGAATGTTTCTTTTAAATCATAAGGAATGCCAGTGCAGTCTCTTTTAATAAGAGAAAATAGTCACAAGTAAATTAAGGTCACAAAGCAGGACACTCATAATGGGTTTTCCAAGTTTCACACATATCTCCCGCCGAACAAAGAGTAAAGGTGAGGCATATCTAGTTTTTGCTTTAGTTCTTGTGTATGAATCTGAGCACATTTTAGAGATTTTTTTTAAATGAATATAGACTGTTCTGGCTTTTGTATTGTGTTAATTATATATACTTCTCCAGTTTTGCTTCTATGTTCATAAAAGCTATTGATTTATAGCTCATTACTTATTATTGTATTATCATTACCATCCTTTCATTATTTTATTAGGCAGTGATGCATAATATTCAAGGACACTGTGTCTGAAGTAAGACTGTCTATTTTTAAATTCTGTTTCCCTTTATAACAGGCAATTGGAACTTGGGCAAGTTACTTAACATATAGGGTGTTCCAAAAATGTATACACATTTCAATAATTAGTAGTTTAAATGGGTTAACTATGAAAAGAAAGAAACATCAATTGAACTAGCAGAAAAAAAGTGTGTATACATTTTTGGGAGGACACCCTGTATTAACTTATTTTTAACAAAGGATTTCAATGAGGGTGACTTCAATTTATAAGGGGATTGGTTTATATCCAGCATTTGGAGAAATCTTGTCAAACTTTTTAATATTATACCAGTCTGGTTGGTGTTAAATGGTAACTTATTTTGATTAACTTCATTTCTTTAATGTTGAAAGTACTTTATGTGTTTATTTGGAATTTATATTACCTATTTTGTTAAATGTTTGTCATTAATTTTACCAATTTTTATATTATGCTGGCCCCTTTTTATTATTGATTTAATACATTGTACTATATATATATATATATGTATGTATATATATATATATATATTTATAATAGACAGTCCATTGTTAGCAAATATATTCACTCATTTTGTGAAATTTTTTCCTCTTTGTGGTACATTTGGAGGAACTAAAAAAAAGTTACATTTGAATGTAATCAGTTTTATCCTTGTGATTGGGGCATTTTGTGTTTTGAAAGCTTGTATTTACTTAATATATTGCATACTGATATTTTTCTAAATTAGATATAGTTTTGTTTTATCCATTTAAGTCCTTAATTATTTAAAATACTAGTAGCCCTGCACACGAATCTGTGAGCCAGTAGGTTGCTGCTGCCCTCCTGTAGCTTCCCCTGCCTCCCTTCCCCTTACCCACTCCCCCACCTCATAGCTTGCTGCCCTGCCCCCTCCTGTAGCTCTCCACAGCTACTTGTACCTCACTGGCCCACCCTCCTGCTGATCCCTGATCTGATCTTGAAGTGCTTGGTCGTTATGCCTCAGGGCATAATGGTTGATTAGCATATTCCTATCTTATTATATAGGACTTGAGGCCTGGTGCACAAAAATTTGTGCATTCGGGGGGTCCCTCAGCCCAGCCTATGGGCTCTTACAGTCTGGGACCCCTCAGAGAATGTCCACCTGCTGGCTTAGGCCTGTTCCCCCAGGGATTGGGACCAAGCTGGCAATCAGACATCCCTCTGGCATCCTGGGAGCCCTCGGGGAATGTCCACTTACCGGCAAGGAGCAGACCTAAGCTGCAGTCGGACATCCTTGGTGCTGGTAAGGAGGCGGGAGAGGCTACCCCCACCACCGCTGTGCTGGCAGCCATTAGCCTGGCTTGTTGCTGAGCAGAGG